GTAAATAGAGTTAAAAGTGTAATTTTTAAAAATGAAAAGTTTGATTGAGATGGATTGTTGGCGATTGTATGGGTGTTGGACAGATTGAGTAGCTTTACATGAACAAGGGGAAACTAAGAGCTGTTAAAAAGATTTAAGACCTACAATACAATATTTCAGTAGATTTAAGACTTTAATTGCTTAAAATTAGTTTTAAAAGACATTTAAGACGCCACGGACACCCTGATAAAATCTATAGAGCCATGAGAAGCTCATGCTAGCAGGGCTACATTTATGGTCACTTATTAAACATTAAAATTTACATTAAGATGCATTAGTAAAATCTAAAGTTGTATTGCATGTGTCAGTATCATCACACACATGACCTAACAAACAAGTGAACATTAAAAATATGAGCAAATACTGGTACAGATGTTTTACTTGATATTAGTTGATTCATTAACTAACAAAAATATCTATTTTTTCCAATAACATTCAAGTAAAACACAAAAATGAACTGTACTGGTTCAGTGCAAAAGCTATGGGTTTAAAAGTAATTTAAGAGAAATGAAAACAAAAGCTTTTATAAACACTCCTCTATACAAACAAAAAATCTTCCCTGTTGAGCTAACAATGACATCTGTTCCCTCTATTCACAGAGAGCTCTTTAGCCACAAGAAACAATACAACATGACCAAATACCAGAGAACATTCGTTAAAGCCAGCTAAAATCAGTTATACCAGTTACACTCAAATAGAAATCATCAGGAGAAACAAATTCCAGGTGACCAATGTGACCATTTATAAATGCTGCTTGTTATAAAAGGCATTTCACTGAAAAATATACATGCATTTACTCTCCGTCAAGCGGTTCTGAATCTGTAGGTGTTTAACATTTCAGCTGAAACCTGTAACTGTTGACTTCCATAGGAAAAACAAATACTTTGGAAGTCAGCGGTTACAGCTTTTAGCGTTCATCAAAACATCATCTTTGTGTTCAAAAGAAGAAAAGAAGGTTCGAAAGAGTACAAGATGACAGAATTTTCATTGCTGGGTGATCTATCGTTTTAGCATCATCAGATTAGCAGAAAATGTTATTTATACGATTGTGAAACTTTACAGAGAAGATTCAACAATGTGTTTCCCACTAGGATTGAAAGATATATTAAAATACGAGCCTAATAGGCCTACTTTAATTTCTCTCTGATTTACAGAACCAAGAAAAATAGTTTTGAACACGACTAATGTTTATCAAGCATTCAGTTTTTGCGTTGTTGTCAAAACAAACATCCAGAAAAGGCCAGCACAGTTTATCTAATATTGTCTTATCAGCATCATTTCAAAACTTCCGTGCTTTATTTCATCTTTGTAACGGATGCTTCAGCCTCATGGGGGGTTAATATAGTTTTAGATTTACACATTTGGACGTTTGTCTTAACCCTTTAACTGTCCCACCAAGATTTTTTTAAAATTATTTTTTAACTCCTAATGTTGCTAGTTAACACACTCAATGCACTCTTTTTCAACATCCCATAATTTCTGAAAATATCAACCTCTACCAAATGGTAGACATGTCAGTGTATGGTAAAACTACCAGAATTATTACATAATACTATAAAAAAAATCTGAAAATATTCAGTTCATGTTTATTTATATAGAGCTGTTTACATCGTAGATTTAACATAATTCTAGTAAAGGCCAAATTTCAGAGTTGAAGTTTAGCTTAGGTTAGTGTGTAAAGTATAAAGTGTAAAATCAATTTATATATAAAAAAAAAAAAAACAGTCAAAATAAAACATCTTTGAATACTAAATCATCTTTATTGTTTAAAGTATGCCATAAAATAGATCCCAATTTAACATGTTTACTTGTTTGTTTGTTTGTTTGTTTGTTTGCTTGCTTTTTACAATAAAAGCAAAATCAAGTGTGGTAGTGCAACAGGATTGTGTTTGTTTGATTTTTTTTTTAAACCAACAATGCTGTGTAGTGTAAACCATTATTTTTAGATCATTTTACTCACTTTAACAGTTAAAATAGGGTCAACCATTTGGTAGACCAGGTTAATAATATAATTTCAGAAAAGTGCTAATTGTAAATAGCGAAATCATATTAGCAGCCAACGACATATGAAAGTAGCGTAACAGCATTCTTCACCGTCAATTAAACAGAGCTAACGTTGTCAGTCATATTTACATGCGATTTTAGACAAAATATTCAGAGTAATAAACAAGATAGCCTGTCATTAGTCGTCACTGTTCAAAACTGAACGAGTGTGCTAATATAAAACCAGCTTTCCCTCAGTTTCAGCCTCAGGCTTCTTTCTGAGTGAAAGTGAATGGAAACTGTGACTAAAACAAACTCCAAACCCTCCATAACAACGGCAGGTATGTCGTAGAGGATAATCTCCACGTCTTTGCTCTCAAATAACACAACGGCTCTGTGCAATCAAATAAATTTGGCTCGTTTCTAGAACTTTTCAAGCATCGAGAACGCGCGTTTGAATAGTTTTGGAGCACCATGGTGACTGGATTTTCATTAATATCTGAGCGTTACACCTGACGGAGAAAAACAGATGGGAGACACATTTGTAATTTGATCAGATTTCACTTATTTCATCCGAATGCTCCTTTCCCCGGAAACATTACCACGTCCATTAACACATTTTGTGTGCATCTTGAGGTGATTTGGCTGAGCGCGCGCGCGTTATTCCCATAACGAGTGAGCTGACAAGATAGACAACATTACTGGATACCTTCATATGACTCAACAAAAGGATTTTTGGCTTTCAGTGAGATGCTCAGAAATGCCGAAGGCGTGAATTCTCAGAGAAGGAACTGAAGCTGAGATTAAATACAAAAACAAAACAAACAAAAAAAAAACAAAGACGTTTGCAACACTTTTGTTGGCGCATCAGATGTGTTTGTTTCTTTTACAAACGAATACTATGAACCATGACTTTCAAGCCTAAACGCGGTTAACATCACTTACACGAGAATATTAACGTGTTATATTTGGCACATGCGACTTCCAGTGACACTGAGGAAACTCCATGTTCACAATCATCTCAAGTCATTGAACACTCGCTTCTAAAACAGACTTTAAAGAGTTAAAAAAATACTCAACAGCACATACAAACTTAACAAAGAGTGTCTACAGTGGATGTACATCATTAAAGCATGTCTTACCTCCGGCTTTGCGGTGTGTTCGTATCCAGGGTTAAAAAGTTTCTGGCTGGATGTGAAAAAAGCGGAGACGTGGCCTCTGGGGGTGATTGACATGTGGGCGGAGCTTCGCCCTCATTATAAGTACCTTGATGTAAAATGATCTGTCAGCTTTCTCGAGTAGATGCCTCTTCTGATTTTTTTTACTTTGTGCTTAGATTAACACAAAGCTCTTTAAAGGTGTGTGTGGGTGAAAGTGGTTCAACTGTGTATTTAAAGAAGAATTTTGCATATTACAAAACATTGCACAACATTTGACTCAAGTAGACTAGCTGTACCACTCATGTGTTCACTAAAATGTAATATACAGTCATTGAAAGACAAATACACACCCCCATATTCACATTCTGTCAAAAAAAAAAAAGGTGAACGCAACAGGAAAACATTGCATCTGCATCCTGTCCATTGTGCCAAACTTCCTGAGCATGGAGAATACAGCAGCTGTCGTTTCAGAAATACAGACATTTATACAGTTTTAGGAAGAAAATAGCTAGTCAAATGACCATAGAGGAACACGAGTGACACTTACAAATCAATACATTAATTCAAACATTTTCTTAAAAATAAAGAAATCACCTTTAAATGTGTACATAAAAAACTCTTGAAATTATTTATTTTTTATAAATGTTGATTAATTTAACTATCAAAAGTACATTCATAAATCATTTTCATGTTTTACAGTTGTCATTTCTGCTTAGAGTTTGCATGTTCTCCCCATGTTGGCGTGGGTTTCCTCTGGGTGCTCTGGTTTCCCACACAATCCAAACACATTCGCTATAGGAGAATTGAATAAGGTAATTTGGCCGTAGTGCATGAGTGTGAATGCAAGAGTGTATGGGTGTTTCCCAATGTTGGGTTGTGGCTGGAAGGACATCCGCTGCGTAAAACATATGCTGGATAAGTTGGTGGTTCATTCCACTGTGTTCCCCTAATTAATAAAAGGACTAAGTCAAAAAGAAAATGAGTGAGTGAAATTAAATTATGCATTTTATTTTTTTATTACTCTGCTTTTATTATTTGATGATTAATCAGCGTGTTTTAAATTGATATAATTAATAAATTGATATATTTATTTATATATGGAGGACCATGAGTGATACTTTAAACTCAATTTATCAAGTTTAATAATAATTCAAAAATCATTGTTTTATTAATAAATTATCTTTGAATGTGTAAATTAAAAAAAACTAATGCAAATTTGTTTAATTAAAACATTGATTGTAGTGGCACATGCACTCAGGTACTCAAGGCGACCTGAGTTTGATTCCCGCCTCGAGGTCCTATGCCAATCCTTCCCCTCTCTGCTTCCCAAACTTTCCTGTCAATACTCTCTACTGTCCTGTCCATTAAAGGTGACCCCCCCCCCCCCTCCAAAAAAAAAAAAACATTGATTAATCAAACAATAAAAAGTACAATAATAAGTATTTTTATTGTTTAAAAAATAAAATAACTAAAAATATGCATTTATTTAATTTTATGTTTTTTTATTATTTGATCAATAAGTGTTGAAATGAAGTATACTATTTTACTTAATAATAAAATAAATAAACTGTTTTAAATAGATATATTAATTATATTGTTGTTAAATATATATATATGTATATATATATATATATATATATATATATATATATATATATATATATATATATATATATATATATATTATATCACTTTAAAGTATTGTTTATTTGGTTTATTAAAGTACATTTTTAAACAAATTACATACATTTAAATGTCTATTAATTTGTCTTATTAAAGGGGATTTATTATCTACATTTTAAAACAAATTAAACAAGCATTTATTTATTTAAAAAAGATTTTAAATGCACTGTTTTATTGCTTTAATTACACTTAAAACACTTTTTTAAACAGACACATTTAAATGTGACTTATTTATATACAATTTTAAGCTTTAATTATTAAATTGATCATTTTATTCTTCAGTCATTCATTTGGCTTAGACGCTTTATTCATCAGGGGTCGCCACAGCGAAATGAACCGTCAACTTATCCAGCATATGTTTTACGCAGCGGATGCCCTTCCAGCTGCAACCCAGAACTGGGAAAGATCCATACACACTCATACACTAGGGCCAGTTTATTTTCAATGCACCTATAGCGCATGTGTTTGGACTGTGGGGGAAACTGGAGCACCCGGAGGAAACCCACGCCAACACGAGGAGAACATGCAAACTCCACACAGAAACTGACCCGGTCGGGACTCAAACCAGCGACCTTCTTGCTGTGAGGTAACAATGCTAACCACTGAGCCAATGTGCCACCCTGAAAACATTAATCATCAAAATACAAAATCAATATGCCATACTATAATATTCAACTTCCTCCACTTGCAAAAGCCAAATAATCATAGATATAGTTTGTGTATGAATATAATTTGATAAATATCAATGTAAGGTTCAGTGAATCACTCATTTCCTGATGATAATATTCAATCATGTTGAAATCCCTTTGTAGAAAATGTTTTAAATACACCATGAGCAGATTGTTTAAAGAAATCAGACAGCATGAGGTCTTTCAAGTCATTTTTTATGCAAATTAAGATAGAAAAATAAGGTTAGGCCTATGCCAGTTGTATACATTTCTACACTTTCCCACTAATGTCACAAAGCAAACATTATCTTGCACAATAAGTGGTTGAACTCGAAACGTCCTGAAACCGGAAAAACTGGAGATTACACATGCATGCTGTTGGGAATTTCATACCAATGTACTGAAAACTGAACTATAAATAGGAGCACAACTCTTAATGACTGATAATTCTACAGTATATGCAAGCTAATGTAAAAACACACACAAAAACCGGAGGTCTCAGGATCTGTGCTGTTTAAACGGTGGTATGGTGATGGTGGGTAAAACCTGGTTTTGAAAGATGAACGTCTGAATGTGCTGGAAAACCCACAGAAAGATGAGCAGGACGCTGACATACTGGATCCAGGCGAACTTTATGGTTTCCCAGAAGCCCGGCCGATAAGTAGAAAAGGACGGTCAAGGAAATTGAATCTCAGCTGATAAAATGAAACATGAATGGAGAATCGAGGAATGTAGAGAATTCAGGAAGCGACTTTTACAGCAGAAAATCACTTCATGAGCTCATGAGAGGGAGAAATTGTAAAAAAAAAAAAAAAGAAAGAAAAGAATAATGCTGAAATTTCCTGTCATGTGTTTCAGATCAAAGTGTCGTTTTATGAAAGCATATTCTGGTATCAGGATTTAGTTGTAGACCAGATGGATGATGTTAGTAACCAAGAATGATACGGATACAAATATGCATATCGAGTTTATTCATCCATTCATTTTCCTTCATCTTAATCTCTATGTCAGAGGTCGCCACAGCAGAATGAACCACGAACTATTCCAATATATAATACACAGCGGATGCCCTTCCAGCTGCAATCCAGTACTGGGAAATACCTAAACACTACCAATTTAGTTCATCCAATTAACCTATAGCGCATGTCTTTGGACTTGAGGGAGAAACCGGAGCACCCAGAGGAAACCCATGCCAAGACGGGGAGAACATGCAAACTCCACGTAGAAATGCCAACTGGCCCAGCCGGGACTCGAACCAGTGACCTTCTTGCTGAGAGGCGACAGTGCTAACCACTGATCCACCGTGCTGCCCATGTAAAAATACAATAAATAAAAAAAATCACTCTATGTGACTTCAGTAGTTCAACTGTAATCATATGAAGCACCCAGAACACTTTAGTGTGGCAGAAAAACAATAAAAATGACTTTGTTGACCAATCTCTTGCTTATTAGGTCAGGGTGTGCGTTTACTACGTGTAATACAGCGCTTGTGTGTTGGGCTGCTGAATCTAAGGGCTATACATTGAACTGCCTGTATTAAATGTAAACCTGCGAAAGAGAAAACACTGACAAACAAAGCTGTTTTTACATATTTGGTGCACTAACGTCTTAGAACCACTGAATACACATGGACAGTTCTGACAAAGTTGTTTTCTGGAGTCTTTTGCTGTCTATGGAGGATGAGGGAGCTCTCTGATTTCATCTAAAATGTCTTAAATTGTGTTCTGTAGATGAATGACGATGTAGATGACGAGGGTGAATAATTAATAGCAGAATTCAAATTTTTGAGTGAACTAACCCTTTAAAAGTCCAATGAAGTGCTTTGAAATGTGCAGTTTTTTATTCGATGTTTAACGTAACCTCAACTGAAAAACAAAGAGAGGGTGGGATAGAGTGGCTCCTCCCCTTTTTAAAAAAATAACCAACAGCGTTTTGTTTTATCACAGCTCTGCCAGTGAGAGTGGGCGAGCTCAAGCTCATCAAATGAGAAGCAAACAAGAAAGGGGCGGGGCATGTCAAATATTCGAGAGCATTTGATTAGCCAAGATTTGATGAGAAACTTAAGTATGAGGCGACGTGGAAAAAACATTAATCCATTTAGGTGGAAATGACAAACTACAAGCGTTACATGTTTATATCAGTTTTAGATCTTCTAAATGTGAATTTTGTCTTTGTTTTGTACTACACTAGCTCATAGATATCCTTGAAGATACTAATACTAACATCTAAAAAACGTTATTTTAATCTCTCTAGACCTTGAAGGACCACAGTTTGACCCCAAGACGCTAATTTACTGTCACTTTAAAATGTTTAACGTCGTCAATATCCTTTAAACCACCATTTAAATGTTAAAAATGCTTACTTATGGGCAACAAGGTGGCTCAGTGGTTAGCACACAGCAAGAAGGTCACTAGTTTGAGTCCCGGCTGGGTCAGTTGGCATTTCTCTGCAGTGTTTGCATGTTCTCCCCATGTTGGCATGGGTTTTCTCCGGGTGCTTTGTTTTCCCCCACAGTCCAAACACATGCGCTATAGGGGAGTTGAATTAACTACTTTGGCCGTAGTGTATGAGTGTGTGTGGTGTTTCCCAGTTCAGGGTTGCAGCTGGAAGGGCATCCACCGTGTAAAACATGTGCTGGAATAACTGGCGGTTCATTCTGCTGTGGCCACCCCTGATTAATAAAGGGATTATGCCGAAGTAAAATGAATGTTTACTTTTAGACCCTTTTCACATTTCAGGGTTTCTCGGTAGCGGAAGTCTTCATAGTTGGGAAAACTTAGAGCGCAGTGAACGGGAGAATACAAAAAATATTTTTTTTTAAATCTTATTTGCTGAAATAACCAAAGAAAAACTTCACGATGATGGTATAAAGGCTTTCAGAAAAGAAAGAAAATGTGTGAGACTGATGACGGCAGCCAGAGGAAAGAATAACGTCAAATGTACTGTCCATTCCCATACACGCTGCATTAAAAACGACACGCAAAATCGGGAATTCGTTTTTGGAAGCAAAGAGGATATAAAACATACATAATTACATATAAATGTTCATACATTTAAAAAAAAATCTAAATATTAAAAACTTTCAAGGGTTTAAGATGCTGAAAACTGTTAAATGCGTCAGGCTTGTGAAAAGGGTCCATTGTTTAATGCGTTTTAATAAGTATGTTGCTTTATATTTACAGAAACATCTCCCTACTAATTTACTCATATTCCTTGAAAACATTTGAGACTTGATATGAAATGCATTCTCTATATATAAAAACTCATTTTGTCTCTAAATCTAAAAATTGACTCCAAAATTAGACGTCTTATCTATGACACACATATATCTTTCACCCTCAAATGTTGATTTTGTCATAGTTTCCTCGCCCTCATGACATTCCAAAATGGAATGACGTTCTTTCAACCATGTACGTTAGAACTCCACATTCTTCACATTTACTTCTTTGTGCTCAACAGAAGGAAATGACATCATTATTGGGTAAATCATTCTACTGATACACACTCATGATTCATAACACTATTTTTAACACTGTTGCATATTTTGATTGCTTGATAAAGTAATCGTTTAATTGTTTCGCCCATAATAAATGAGTTCTGCCTCAGACGCCACACACTATAATCATCTGTCATGTGATCTTGTGTTTGGATGCCTGATGTCTGCTTTGGAAGTCATTTAACTAAATAATTTTCATGACAAACTTTGACTCAGGCATTACAGAATGATTAAATCAGCCTTTGAGATGCTGTGATTAAGGTAGAGCATCTGCTTTATCCAGTTATCTGATCACATGATCAGCAGAGGCAAACCTACATGATGTTTTTGTTGTGCATTAAGGCATTTTGGAGATAGGTGTGTTTAAATCATATCAGATTTACCATGGCTTATTTTGTGCATTTTAATATTTAATCTGGGTGGCTCACAGCAAGAAGGTCACTGGATTCCAGCTAGGCGAGTTGGTGTTTCTGCGAGTTTGCATGTTCTCCCCGTATTGGCGTGGGTTTCCTCCGAGTGCTCCGCTATCCCACACAGTCCAAAGACATGCACCATAGGTGAATTTAATATATTAATTGAACTGAATTAGTCGTAGTATACGAGTGTGTGTGTGTTTATGTGAATGAGTATATAAGGGTGTTTCCCAGGACAGGGTTGCAGTGGGCAGGGCCAATTAAATCTCATTATGGCATTTTCATCCAGCTGTTTTATTTCTATGGAGTATTCTAAAACATTTTTAGCTCATATTCTCATCATGCATCAGTGACTCCAAGAATTGTGTTCCTCTGTGTCACTCTAGTGTGACCTCTGCTATTCTCTTTCAGTTTCTTTTAAAGAAATGCTCCACATTTTTTGGAAACAGGATCTTTTTACAACTTACCTAGAGGTACAGTTGGGTTTTGCCATTTGTTAATCTATTCAGAAGATCTCTGGAAGCACTTTTAGCTTAGCTTAGCATAGATCATTGAATCAGATTAGACCGTTAGCATCTTGTTTAAAAATGACCAAAGATTTCCATTATTTTAAATAACAAATTGCATATATTTCCTATTTGGCTGGCTGAGATCAAGACCTTTTATTATGTTTGGCTAGCTAAAGCAATTTACTCCCGGGAAGGGGTTAAAATCGGCGGCTGTGCGATCTACTTCTAGAAGGAAGTTGAAATTGGGGGGCACGTAATTATAGCTGTGAAGCTTCACTTTTCAACTGGAGACGTCCAATAGATTAATAGGTATTGAATAGGTGATCACCAGAATGGGAAAGTCCCAGTGTAAAGTGAGAAAATATGATACACCGGTATTTTGGAATTTGGAAAAGCTGTCTTTACACTGTTTTCATCTGCTTTTATTTTATTAGGTTTTTTTTATTTATACTTGTCTCTTTTATTTCTGGTTATGTAAAGCATTTTGAATTGCCACTCTTTACGAATGCTTTAAATAAAAAACTTGCCATGCCTATTTAAAGCTTGCCTATTTTGTATATATATAAAAGTTAATATGGCAAGGAATTATGCTCTCTTTCTGATGTAATAATCAAGGAACTTTGCTGGTAAGGCACCAAAAATACAGAAGAAAATTTGTGAAACTTTTGGCATTTTTCAGTCAGATGCTAATGGTCTAATCTGATTCAATGAACTATGCTAAGCTAAAAGTGCTCCAGCCATATAGAAAGACCAGCAGAATTGTTTAAATATTTGTAAAACTCTGTTAATGGTTAAAAAAAAAGAGGAGTGTTCCTTTAATTTTCTGAATACTACATTTTCGTTGTTATTGTCCTTAGAATGAACCCCTGCATCTATATATAATATTTCTGCAGCATGACAAATATGAGGCTCTAAATATTCTGAATGAAATGTTCATAAGTTGTGCACAGTGAGCTTGTAAAGGATATTCAATCATCTCTACTGGATAGTGGATCTGTGCGCTGATCTGAAAAGGAGCGTTTGCCGCTCTGCCCACCGTCCACACGGGAATGACACCAGAGAGATGCGTCGTCACTAAGAACGAAAAATGAACAGTGAGTAATGGATAACCACCATGGAAAAGTTTGTATCTCTGTAGATCTATCATAAACATGCAGCATGCATATCTATCTGTTGCACTCAGATGTGCAAACCCTTAAGCTTCCTTCAGAGGACAGTTTGTTCTGCATATAAAAGCTTTCTCAGCATAAATAACTGCACTGCACAGCTAATCATAAAGCCATCTCTCTATAGTGCCCTGATCTAATCTAAGTACCTAATGAACTTGCCTTATAAGCAATGCCTTAATATGCCTTATAAGCAATTATTCCTTGGTCTGTTAAAATGCTTGATGCCGATTGGCTGGAATTAAATTGTTTAATGCACATATAGTTTTGATAAAAGTTAATAAATATGCTTCTCCAACAGTTGACAAGCTGAAAATCACTGGCTGAAAAGACATAACAGCTAATGCTTCTGATTGATTTTTTAACCGTACTTAAAAACAAGCTCCGCCACCAAGTGAACAGTCTCATGTTTCAATTTGACTAAATTTACTGCACTTTTTAAAGAGGACCTATTATCTAAAAAGCACTATTATACGGGGTTTAAACGTAGTTGTGTGGAAACAGACTGTGAATATATTCAGCTTCTAATGGTAAAAATCTATTCATTAATTTTATTGTAATCACACCTGATAAAAACAGTCTGCAGAAACACTCTGATGGACATTCTCCCGTTGTACATGTCATCAGAGGGGGAAAGCCCCGCCCTCTAGTGACCATCTCTCACTTATTAGAATAGGACAACAGTCTTGTTTTTGAATCTGCCACTATGCTGACACACAGGCATCTGTAGCTCCGCCCTCTTTTAGAAAAGAGCACAATCTCATCTGAATTTAAAGCGACAGTCACCAAAAACCCCACAATTAGGATCAAAGCCTAAAAGGGTCCATTTCAAAGAGTTATAAAACAATATTTGTGAGGTATTTGAAGCTGAAACTTCACATATTGGTACAATATTTGGCCAATATTTAAAAATGTATTAATTTGTGACAACTTTTCTGCATTAATACATAGCTATTCTTGGTAATGCACCAATTTATGGTTGATAACGTGCAAAAATATTATAAGTCACATAAATGCACAGTGCATGAAATAGGAAACATTATGACATTTGCTTGACAGGAATCTCTGTTGAACTAAAGTGCTTTAAACAGGAACATTCTAGATCAGTGGTTCTCAAACTGTGGTACGTGTACCATTAGTGGTACACATGCCTCCTTCTAGTGGTACTCGGAGGAATGAAATACGTCATGTACATGCTACACATATTAAAAATTTTTTCAAAAATGATCTATTTAATATGCCATATATGACATATAGCCTATATTTCTGAGGTAATCTACCACGTTTTTTAAGTGTGCAGAGGTGTAGCTGCTTTACTGGGTCTACTACGCTATTGTATTTCAATACTGCTCATTTTGGTGGTACTTGGAGAGACAATTTTTTTCTGAGGTGGTACTTGAGGAAAAAAGTTTGAGAACTACTGTTCTAGATGTTTTCATAAAGCAACATCAGGGGCCTCATGTACAAAGACTTGCGTTGAATTAATACTAAAACATTGCGCACATTCACAACCAGAGGTGCTCCTATCGGAGGTAGATGGGAGAAAACGGTTATTTGCAAGTTTGTCCGCCTGATGATAACAAAAGAAAAAAAATATAGTGGGAGAGTTTAGCTGACGCAGTTAACGCAGTGGGGTCTGAACATCGCACTGCGAGTGAATTAAAAAAGAAATGGTCCCATGTAAAGGTGCATGTTAAGAGGAGAACAGCGGCACACCGTCAAAGTGTGTACCGAACAGGCATGGGAACAGGGGATGCTGAACTAAAACCCTTTGAGGAGAGAGTTGCCTCAATTTTAGAGTTGATTTGATTATTTTATCTCAAATGGTGTCAGAGTTTAATTGACTTTTACAATAATTACATTAAAAGATATTTACAAATATTATAAAATAAATAAAGTGCTAATTCCAAAAACAGAGTCTTGTGCAATACGCAGGATGTCTTTCTGAACATTTTGGTACTGGTTTTATTGTATAATTTCCTATGGTTGAATTATTTAATTCATTCGTATGGTTCATTTTTTTTTAAATCGAGAAATTAAGCCTCGTGCAACATAAAGGGCACATATTTATGCCTATCTGACCTATTTTTGGCTTCAACTATAACAGGAGCAAAGAATTTAATTGGTTTGAAATCGAATGTCTAATGAATGTCAAACGTTAAACTAACTTTACCGCGGTTTAACAGCATGGTATGGAAACCTTAAATACCTGGTAGACCTGACAGCTGCCATTGCATGGCTGAAAGATACTTTGTAGTGTGCAATTTAACATGATTGCCTCTAGGGGTTCGCCAATGAAAATAAAACAAACACACACAAGAAATACATGTACGCCAGACATGAAGTTGGCGTGGACCAACGCACATTCCCATGTTCATTTCATTGTCAGTAAATCTAAACGTGAGCGTGAAATCTGCCGTACGCAAAGTTTTTGTGTGTACGCAGCATTTATACTGTACATGAGGCCCCTGGTCTGCATACAATATTACAACCTCCAAAGTTTGAAGATTGCACTTTCATGCCTATGACCAATAAATTAAAACATGAATTTGTGTGTGATCTTACAGTTCCTCTGCTGATAGAGTCTTATGATGTTGGTCAGGTCATATGTACTCGCAAATGGACTGGATCCATCAATCACAGACACCTAGCAATGAAACAGGAAACGCAATTACAAAATAAAAATGACTTCACATAAACACCGTCACCTTGCAGATGCATTCCTGATGATTTTTATTCCTTATTTTAATTACAGCTTTCCAGTTGAGATACATTTAGCATTACTCTGGCAGTGCGAGTCAAACCAGTTCAGTATCAAGGTATCATTTCCAGCCTCGGTTGATTCTCCAGATTCATTTGTATGTGAAAATGATGTCACCCACTGATGAGCTTTAAAAGCAACAGCGCAATGCTTGAGAGGGTCCAGATGCACTTACGTTGTAGGTACTGTGTAAACCTCTGTGAGGAAGAGGAGTTCGCTGGTTTAGCCTCAGGTCTCCACAGATAAAGAGCTGAGAGCCGGGAACAGGAGATGAGTGCTGTATGAAGGCCAGCGTCTGCATCACCACAGTCGACATTCGCTGAGAAACACATTCAGAAAAATACAGTCATGCGAGGAAAAAGTCACGACACCATGTTAAAACTGGAATATTTTCCATATCAGGATGAATCCAAGTTATCCAATCATTGAAAAAACACCCTCAGATGAAGTTAAAGGGGAGCTATTATGCAAAAATCCCTTTTATAAGGGGTTTAAATACAAGTATGTGGCTTCAGTGTGTGAATATAACCAGCCTCTAATGGTAAAACTGTATTAATTCAATCTTTTATAGTCACACTTGATGAAAACAATCTGCTGACTGACATTCTCCATTTGTACGTGTCATCAGAGGGGGAAAGCCCAACCCACTAGTGACTATCTCTCCCTAATTAGCATAGGACGTTAGTCTTGTTTTTGAATCTGCCACTATGCTAACACACAGGCATTTGTAGCTCCGCCCTTTTTTAAAAAGAGCACAATCTCATTTGCATTTAAAGCGACAGTCACTAAAAGCCACAATTAGGATCAAAGCCTAAAAGGGTCACAGCTTCATTCATTTTCTTGTCGGCATTGTCCCTTTATTAATCTGGGGTCGCCACAGCGAAATGAACCGCCAACTTATCAAGCACGTTTTTTACGCAGCGAATGGCCTTCCAGCCGCAACCCATCTCTGAGAAACATCCACAAACACTCATTCACACACACTCTACGGATTACAATTTAGCCTACCCAATTCACCTGTACCGCATGTCTTTGGACTGTGGTGGAAACCGGAGCACCTGGAGGAAACCCACGCAAACGCAGGGAGAACATGCAAACTCAACACAGAAATGCCAACTGAGC